TCTAAATCCGGCCCGCAGACAGTCCAGGGATCAGTGTGTTTTCACATGAGTAGAATGTGTCCTTTTATTTAAAATGCATCTCTGGGTTATTTGTGGGGTCTGCCTGGTGTTTTTACATGACTAGAATGTGTGCTTTTATTTAAAAGGCATTTTTGGGTTATTTGTGGGGCATAGGAATTTGTTCATTCCCCCATATATATATATATATATATATATATATATATATATATAGTCCGGCCCCCCACATGGTCTAAGGGATGGTTTGCTGACTCCTGGATTAGAGAGAAATGATATCAAAGAGGCAAGCTGGATGAGTCTTCTCTGAAGGATAGTTTCTGTTAGTAGAATAGCTGACTTGTCTGGTAACCAGTGATCTACAGACTGGAAATAATTAGACCTAGGCCTATGCACAAACAGTCTCTCAATAGTCTCCATCCTATTCAAATTTTTTTAAAAAAACGTATGTATCACATTGATATCTCACCTTTCCTCCAAGGACCTAGGGTCAGAATACATTTCTGCTCAGTGGGGGATCTGAAACCTGGTCTTCCAGGTCCCATTCTAGCAGTCTAACTACTGCACTATGTTGGGGGTAATTTTACTGAATTTCCTCATGGGGAGGAGAAATTCTCCAATAGTTTCTTTGGATAAGGCACACCAGTAACAATGATGGTAGCACAGCTACTTTCTTTTTATTTATTTTTAATCCAATGTCACTGCAAATGGCAGCCTAGCCACCATTTTTGTATCTTACATAGGAACCTAGGAAGCTGCCTTATGCCAAGTCCATCTAGTTCAGTACTGTCTGCACTGACAGGCAGCGGCTGTCCAGGCTTTCAGACAAGAGAGATTTCCAGCCATACCTGGAGATGCTGGGGATTGAAACTGGGATGTTCTTCATGAAAAGCAGAAGCTCTATATCACTGAGTTATAGAACTAAGTGTGATAGCCTGGGACTCGGGCTCGGACTCGGAACCAGAGGAGACTCAGTCTGCACTGGATCCTTTGCCTCAGGCATCATCTGAACCAAGTCTGGGGCCTAATCCTGAAGAGTCCCAGTCTGCACAGGTTCCCCTGCAGCAAACACCAGCTGGGCTGAGTCAGGGGCCTGAGCCTGCCCTGGCTCCAGATGCTGGGATTACCTTGTTGCCTTCAGCTGGGCCATCACTTACAGCTGCTCCACTACCTGTTTGGTCAGCGGAGGTTCAGACAGCCCCTGGGTCTAGTAACCCACCAACATCTCCCAAGCTGCAGAGACTAAGGTCTGAGAGAAGGAGAGACCTGAGTACTCACAGGAGGGGTGCTCTCCTTCGGGTGAAACAGGGAGGTGAGTTGCCGGGGGGTCAGGACCGGCCGCTACCCCGACAAAGATAAAAGGCTGTCGGACCCCACCCCAGGTTGCGGAATCAACATTGTTGTATGCTAGATCCTGCCTGAGATCCTGAACCTGTCCTTGCCTGGTTTCCTGCCTCGTGTCCTGCCTTGACCCTGTTGGACTGACTCCCAGCGGAACCTTCGGATTTTGGACCGGTCCTGGACTGTGTTTCATGGGTTACCCCCGGGCCCAGCACACTAAAGAGTCAGAACCCTGGATTAAGGAGTCATCACCTTGGGACTTTGTGAATTGGGAAAATGGTGGCTATCACAAAAATAATGGCAGTTGATGTGCAGAGAAAGTGTGGCATGAAAACATTCAAAATATTAGCTAAAGGGTTAGTGCTCACAAAGGCTATAGAACTCTGTGCTGTCCTACATGTGAGGCAGTTATGTCCATTGGCACAGCAGTGGCAGTTATTAACAATCTTTTGTGTGAGAGCAGCAGGTATTTTCTGTTGTGCCTCAGAGAAAGTCAATCTGCAACAGTATTTGTCTTAGAGACAAGCCAATGTAAGATGTACCAGCAACAGAAATAACACCTGTCTTGTATATTTTTAATCTAACAAGTGCAAGTACACTGAGTAATTTTTATTTATTTATTTAAACTTTAAACAGAGAACGTCTTGCATAATTTTTATAGGAGAAAAGGGGAACTAATTAAAGAGTCAAACTGTGGTTGGCTTACAACAAAACGACCCAGGCTCTCTTCTGCATAACTCTGTAAATGGGAACTAAAGTTTAATTCCCAAAGAAAGTCCTGCATAGTGGACTCATTTTTAAGGGGGCAGGCTTCAACAGCATGACTAATGTCCAGGAGTGACATACATTGTAGTCCTGCTATGTATAGAGGACCACAGGCTGCCCAGAAGAGCAACAGTTTCATTGAGAGTGAATTACTAAAATAAAAGAATTTCTGCCCATGAGTCACCAAAACAGCCTGGTCATCCTGAATGTTTGCTATGCAGTAACAGAATCATTGTTTTACTCCCAAAAAGCTAGCTCAAATGTACAAAAATGTATCAGACAAGTGCTGAAGATATAAGGTCAATGAGGGTTCATTCTGTCTTATGTGGTGGACCTGCAGGAAGAGAAAGGCCTTTGGGGCATGATATATAATGAAATTAAGGGGGGGGGATAAAGTGATTTTTCCCAAGAGGCCAGAATCCTTTCTACTGGACAATGAATCCCAAAGAAAGCATCAGTGGTATTTATGCATGTGACTACAGCAGCAAAAATTCTCTATGCACAGAAATGGAAGGAAGAGAGAACACCCTCAAAGGCAGAATGGTTGATGAAAATCTTGGAATACACAGAGAGGCAAAATTGATGGCACTGATAAAAGATACAAATTTAGAATCTTTTAAAAAAGACTGGAAACCATTTCTAGTATATATAAAAATGTTATTTCCCATATGTGGAGACCACAGCAGGGTTTGAAGTGTAAGAAAATGGCAGAATATATTAAGAAACATGTTAGAGTGGATGAAATTAGATAAAATGCAATTGTATGTAATCTGGGTTATAAACATCAATGTTGGGTTAGCGGGAAGTCACTAATTTTGTTGAATTGGAATATAATTGTTGAATAACAGATGTAATTTTCTATATGGAAAAAAGAATAAAATATTATATATAAAATGGTTCTTCCTACTGTTTAGTCGAAATCTCCTTTCTTGTAATATGAATCCATTGATTGGGCTCCTCCCCACCCCCTGGAACCGGAGAAAACAATTTTGATCCATCTTCCATGTGATATCATTTTAGATATTTTAAGATAGCTATCATATCACCACTCGGTCTTCTTTTCTCCAGGCTATGCATACTCAGCTTCCTCAACTGTTCCTCATAAGACTTGGTTTCCAGACCCTTGATCATCTTGGTTATCCTTCTCTTGTCAATATCCTTCTTAAACATGTCAGACTAGAAAAAATCATTACTCAAATCTGGTATCTATAAACATTCAGAATAACCCTACTTTTCAGCCCATAGTCTGTAAATGATAAAGGGTCATGGAGTGTAGGAAAATTAGTACCAAATCTAATCTAGAATGAATGGCACTGTCTTGAACCTGATAGTATAATTTCTGTTAGTACTAAATGGTGTTTGCATAAGGCAAAGTTCATTGTTTTACCACACCAAGTCATCTGCAGAATGAAATCATTTATTTCACTTAACGAATCCAATTCTATGGCATCGGAATCCAATTCTGTGGCATCAGAATAAATGTAGCACCTTGGGCAAGGAGCACACCATGAGTGCTTTGAACAGCTAAAGGGGTGGGAGGAAGGAAGCCATAGTAGAGGGGGAGAGAAAAACTAGAGGCCAGTGAGGAGGGAAAGGAAAATGTAGCATTTATGGAGCTGGGCAAAGCAGCTGGCCTGTCATCAAAAGTTTGTCATCAGTGCTAATCTGGTAACCAGGCAATTGAATGATTTGAAAAGATCTCACAGCATCATCTGAGGATGTGCTACAAGGTCATGTGGGGAAAGTAGGATAGTTCTGTGTTTCAGAGGATCTGCACCGCATGACTATGCAAGGGGAGCTATTGGATTCCTGTCTCTGGAGAGAATGGCAAGCATTACCAGATCAATCCAGGACATGGTCTAGTACACAAGAGCAAAATTTGAATGGCCTGGAGGGCTACTTTTGTGCAGGGTGCCAAGGAACAGGGTGGGGTGGGGAGGATCTTATCTACTAGTATTTCTTCCTCACACCACAGCTTTGCTTCTGATCCTCAACATAGTGGAGGATGATCCTCCATGCTGATTAGCAGAAGAGGAGAGGATAAATATAGCCCAAAGGAGGTGGAGCTGCTTATCTTAATTTGTCTGACAGTTTAAGATTCATATGCTAGCATTTACCTAATCAAGCCAAATATCTTGTTCAAATACCAACAGAAGCTGGTAAAAGGCACTCCTAGCCACCAAGGATACCTGCACATCTAGTAACAGAGCTAGATGCAGGAGCACCCTGCAAATTATGCTTTTGCTCCATCAGAGAGTAAAGTTCCCAGACTTGAGAACTACTAACCAATAGTCATGGTCCTTAATATTAAACTAATGATGGAGTCTCTGAGACTGTGCATCTATTAAAGAGTGTAACCTACAGGCTCACTTTAGTCTTATCATCTCTTCTAGTTTCAAAGATAATCAAACTTGGGCAGCAAATATTTCAGCTGACATCACTTCTTTTCTGCTCTCTACCCATCACCCCAGACACACACACATGTGTAAACCAATTTGTCTCTGGTGGTGCATAATACCAGGCTAGAAGTGTGTACTGTCCCTTTTCATTGCCAGAGGTCATGGAGTCTTGTGGCTCAAAGACATTCTGAGGGGAAACAAATGAGCACAAACATGATAAATTGCTGGGAAGACACTTTGTTGTGACAAGTAGAAAAGAGGAGATAATGAATTCTAGGTGAAGAGGAATCAAAGGGTGGTGTATGCTTTATCTGGTTTAACTTTCTTCAGCAGCATTTTAAGGGAGAGGAACACATTAAGTGTTAGGAACATAGGAAGTTATCATATACTGAGTCATACCGTTTCTCCATCAGACTAGAAATTGCCTACACTGACTGGCAGTAGTTCCACAGGATTTCAGGCAGGGGTCTCTCCCAGCCCTGCTTGGAGATCCAGAGATTGAACCTGGAACTTTCTGCATATAAAGCAGATACTCTGCCCCTGAGCTGTAGTCCATCCCAAGTGTTACATGATGTGAGAGCCATCATTGCTTTCTGCAATTAACTAACTCCCCAGTGTAAATAGGCCAGTGGAGAAATACTCAAGCAGTATCAGATTTGGGGGTGTTTGGTCCCCATTTAAAAAGATGTCAATCACCAAGTTCAAGAAATCAACACATTGATTCCGCAGCACTCATTTTGGAGTAACATCCTTGGATGAGGAAAACAGTGCCCAACCTGTTGATAACAGAATAAATGATGCAAAGAGGGAATTGCAGCCCAAGATAGGAAGAGAGGAGGTAAGGGAACACTTAGCTACTTTAAATTATTTCAAATCTCCGGGGCCTTTTGAGTTGCACCAAGGGTACTAAAGGAGCTTGTGAATGTAATTTCAGAGTCTCTGTCTATAGTCTTTGGGAATTCTTAGAGAAGAGGTAAAGTCACTGCAGATAAATGTTGTCCCCATCTTCAAAAGGGGAGGGGAGACCAGGTAATTACCAACTGGTGAGTTTGAAGTTGATACCAGGAAAGATCCTAGAATAGATGGTCTGTGAGCACTTAGAAAAGGGTGCTGTGATTACTACGACCCAGCAAAGGTTTCTCAAAAACAAGTCTGCCACTATCAGATAAGATATGTTTCACTGCTGCTGGACCCAAAGTATCAGTTAGAATCTTGGGATGTGTGAAGACAGAAATGTATGTGTCCTTGACCATCTTCCTGGGCCAAGCGAGCACCAACAGGATTTCAGTCATTTCCCTAGATGGATGGGTGACACAGCTGAGAAGCTCTGCTGTGGGAGACTGATAAGACCTGGGCAATTTGGGGGTATCACTCATTCTTCAAAGTCAAGAAGTCTCAGGTGTCAACTGACCTTGAAAAATAACTTGACAAGCAGCGCACACCTGTTCAGGACTTGTAAGTCCTACTGAGTTCAGTTGGGCATACTCCTGAGTAAGTTGGTGTGGGGTTTCAGCCTGAGACGCCCATCACAAAAAATAAAGCCATGTATGGCTCTCATGCACCTTGTTGAAGCTAAGCAGGGCTGGGTCTAGTCAGAACCTGGAAGAGAGTCCACTTGGGAACCCCCATTTGCACTATCTTGAGTTCCATGAAGGAAGAAAGGCTAGATGTACACTTTAAAAGGCTGTATTCAATGTAAATTGTACTTTCAATTTCATTGAAATTGGTGAACTAGATTAGTTATGTTAATTTCTATAGGTCTACTCTGAGTGGAACTTAATTGGATGCAACCTATAGATACATGCAGTGATTGTCTGCCTCCCAAAACAAATTCCATTTATGGACTCTCTGAGACTCCTGTGCCTTAAAAAAAAAAAAAAAGGAGAATACAACATTGGTTAGGTTGATAGTCCATTTAATGCATAATGCTTCCCATGCCAATCTTCCTCCGCTAAGTGTCCTGTACACGTTGACAGGTCAGCCTGGGAACTGATAGGCATTCCAGAAATGCATTAAAGAGGTGGTCATGGATAAATGCCTGCTTTTTCACCAATGATTTGAGTTTTCTGCATCGTACATACCAGAATCACAGAAATATTGGTTCTACACACAGACACACACAAGGCACTAGGCCCTTTTATACCTTAGCAACCCTAACTTTCAAGGATTTTAACGTTGATTCAAACAGAAATGCTCTTCAGTACCAGCAACTTCCTAATCATAGAAGGCTAACATGTCAGCCCTGCCTCTTCCCCAGGATATACCCAACTGACCTGCTGTGTGTTCTCCTCAAGTAATTTTGCCTGGCTGAAATGTGTTGGAGAAATGTGTAGTTGGAATATAGCCTCTTGTACATAGGAAAGAGTCACATCCAGTGTTCCACTCACTTTTTTTCTGTGGCCCTTCTCATCACTGGCACATGGCCCCTAAAAGGTTGCTCATGAGGCAATTCTGCTCTGGAGCTGGAAAAGGATCCCCCTCCTGTAGCATTGTTACAATGTACCGTTCACTTTTAAAATGCATTGAATGGAATAGCAGTACATAATAACAATAACTATGATGAAACGCTAATCAAAAGTGAAGGAAATCTCCTTCCATTAAGGGACTCTGAAGATGTACTTTGAAACAATGAAAGGAACCAATAAAAATAAGAAATGAAATTGAGGTCAGGGGCTCCTTGTAAATGAAAAGCAAATAAACGTCCTCGTAGATGTTGTCTCCATTCCAGACTTCATAGATTATTTCATTGTCATTGCTACCCCTTTGCAGAAAATGAAACACATTTAAGAGTAAAAGTCAGATGAATGGGATTACATTTGGCCTTGATTAAAGGTTCAGGGATTAATTAGTAATGTTTCAGAGTAGGATAGCAATTTAAAAAATGCTAGGATGAAAAATTAACTATTGGTCTTTGAAGGAAAATGTGCTTTTGTCAGCATGGTTGCTACCCCTGCCATCCCCCTGCCCCCCCACCAGTTGGGAGTAGCTGGTTTAGAACCATTTTTCTTTTCTCTCTTCCCAGTTTCTGCTGCTTCTTCAACCCTAGCTGTACACTGCAACCTTCATCATGTGTCATGCCTCAGGATTCAGATCTCCTGCTAGCAGATAAGGCATCCAGTTTCATGGAAGATGGCAAAGAGGACAATTTCATGGATGCTGGTTTGGAAACCTTCCCAGGAGAAAGCCCCAAAGACTCCCACAAAAAAAGGGGGCCCAGAGACTACTGATGTCTCCATCCTCTGTACCTGAGGAATTGTTCTGCCTACCTTCTGTGACTCAGGGAGAAAGCCCCTCAGAACCACAGGCAGCATGGAAATAACAGGCTCCCACTGTTTTGACATGTTTAGGGGCAGCCCCCTTTATGTCCAAGCTGTCCAAGCAGTGGAGCTCGAGTTATCTAGCTTACTTCAAGAGTCTCTAAATGTGAGCAGCCTGTTGCCTTCTTGATGTTGTTGGACTACAACTCCCATCATCCCATAGATCGTGCTAGCTGGGGATAATGGTAATCAGTGTCCAGCACAGGTTCCATGCTAAGCTCACAGTTGGCTTCCAACTAATTACTGGAGCAGTAATCCAAGCTCCCTTTTCTTTTATTTGGTTCACGCCCAGCCTGAACTTGTAACTAGTTCCACACATGATCTGTCCATGGTTCTGATTTCCTATTGAGGTTAGCCAGCACACTCTTGGGTCCCACAACTGGGTCAGGGTATCATGATGCATGTTTCTCTTTCCTGAAATGTTTTATTGTGAAACCTCTGAGTGATATTTTGTCTTACCTGTTGCTTGCCATGAAAAAATGGTCCTTTGCACATCCCCTCCCCCACAAAGAGAACCCAAAGTTTCATAAGGAAACTATAATTTCTATCATGCTCTGCTCTTTCTCTTTAAAATATTGGATCATTGTGTATTCAGTGGAACTATTACTGCAGTAAAAATGCTTGGTTGTTTTGGTTTGTTGTAAGGAAAATGAAGTAGAAGTTAAACACAGGAATTTCATTCTCCCTTCCAGACCTCAGACCTAGGGCCAAATGCAGCCCTCTATGCCCTGCTATCTGTTCCTCAAGACTCTTCCTAACCATGCTTCTCACCAATTACCACCCTTCATGTAAGGACCACAGAGTGGTTTACAATATAAAAACGTAAAAATATGTAACGTTATGAAAAACAAAACAATGATCCCCTTCCCCAGTTTAAAAGGCCATAGATTATTTAATTAGACAAAGGCCTGGGAGAAGAATATTTTTCACTGGTGCATAAAGATATTCAATGAAGGTGCCAGGTGAGCTTCCCTATGGAAAGCATTCCGCAAATGGGGAGCCACCACAGAAAGGGCCTGTTTTCATATTGCCAACTTCTGGACCTTTCATAGAGGATGCACATGAAGAACGGCTTCAGAGGGTGATTTGCCGGGTCCATGTTCAATCATGTGAGGAGAGCCAGTCATGGAGTTATTGCAGTCCTGAGCTGTTTAAGTTTTATGGGTCAAAACCAGCCCTTTGAAATGGCAGCCAGTGCAGTCTAGCAAGTACTGGCATTATATGCTCAAACTGTCTTGCTCCGGTGAGCCACCTGGATGCTGAATTCTGCCCCAGCTGGATTCCAAACTGTCTTCAGAGGCAGCACCATGAATAATGTGTTGCAGTAATCTAATTCTCACCAACCCTTCTCTTTTCCTCCTTGAATGTTTTTGCTTGAATGGAATGTGTCCTTGATCTTATGCATCTTGCTCGTCATTGATGGAGGTGTGTATGTGTGTGTAAACCTTCACTTTATGCAGTACAAAAATAAGAGCCACATCAATTGATCACTTTGGTCTATGTCCCCTGCCATCACTGGCAATCTGGCCATGGGAGAATATGAACCTCAGGCTGAAACAGTTTTCCTGCCACTTACCCAAGAGGGGGAAAAATTTGGATTAGGCATCACTGGAGACATACTGGACATTTTGTGCGGTATTTACATGGTATCCCATAAAGTCATAATGAGACAGGGCATTGGACAGTGTTTGGGTCCACACATCATTTGGTGGTTGGTTTTTGCTGGATGTTCAGATTCACACCACATAGGCGGCTTTCTTTTCCTTTCCTTTCCTTTCCTTTCCTTTCCTTTCCTTTCCTTTCCTTTCCTTTCCTTTCCTTTCCTTTCCCACCTTCAATTGGGTAATTAAAGCAGAGATCAAAAGCAAGAAAGGCATCTGATAGGTGAGGAACCTGAGTTGGGAAAACAATAACTTTGGAATAAAATAAATCCCAGCAGCAATGCTCCCTTTAATGTTCAAATCTTGTCAAATCTGAAAAAAAGAATAATTATACATCCTGGTTGGTCATGACTTACTTAAAATCTATGGAAGTATATACCAGTAGTTCTTTAGGAATTTTCCATGAGGCTTTGCAATATTCTGATTGGTTTTTTCTCTCCACCTTCTATTTTATTCTCGGAGTACTTGGTGCAACCTATGGTTCACCTCATTATAGAGTGTTATCAGCATAGCAGTTTCCTTCATCCCCCTCTGCAGCCATGTTCTGACCTCAAAGGCGCAATCTCAATGAGGCATATTCAGAAA